ACCACACATGACACAGAGGGTCTGCGCAGGGGGCTGGGTGGACACTGGGGTACTGCAAGGCTGAGGGGCCAGTTCTGGTTTCTGAACCTTCAAGCAAAGGGACGTGGGGCTGAGACCATGGTCCCCAAAGGCATGACGTTCACAGCCCAGCAGGTCCTTTGCTTCCCATGAGAAGGAGGCCAAGCTGGACAAAACACCACAGGAAGTCATTCGAGAAACAGATGATTTGTCAGCATGTGCACAGAATTAGGGTGTCACCCGGTCCAGAGGCCCATGCAGCGGATGTCACTCTCAGGGAGAGGGTTTAAGGGACACACTTATTTTTTTCGCCATCTGTCCTTGTAATGTTTGAATTTTCCTTACTGCAAGAATGTATAGGTGTTCAACATCACTAATCATTACGGAAATGCAACTCAAAACCACGAGATACCACTTTTCACACTCACTAGGATGGTTATTATCAAAACCCAGAAAACAGTAGGTGTTGGCTAGGACACAGAGAAATCGAAACACCTGTGCATGGCTGGTGGGAACAGAAAATGGTGCAGTGGCTGCGGGCAACAGTATGGGGGTTCCTCAAAAATTAAACACAGAGTTACCATTTAATCCACCAGTTCCACTTCTGAGTATTTACCTCAAAGCACTGAAAGCAGGCCTTGAACAGATACCTGCACACCTGTGTTCACGGCAGGCCTATTTGCAATTGCCAAAAGGCAGAAGCAACCCAAGTGCCCACTGACAGATGGTGGATGAGCTGGGTGTAGTTTACCCACACCATGGAATATTATTCAGCCCTAAAGAGGAAGGAAATCCTGACACCTGCTACAACATGGAGGAACCCGGAGGATATTACACAAAGTGAAATAAGCCAGATGCAGAAGGACAAATATCTTATGATTCCACTTTTACCAGGTCCCTAGAGAAGTCAAGTTCATAGAGACTGAAAGTGGGATGGTGGGTGCCAGGGGCTAGGGAAGGGGGAAATAGGGAGTTAGTGTTTACTGAGGGCTGAGTCCCAGTTTGGGAGGAGGAAAAAGTTCTGAAGATGGGTGTGGTCATGGTTGCATAACGTCATGAAATGTGGACTTAAAAGTAGTCAAATGATAAGTTTCACATCATGTATATTTTTTCCACAATAAAGAACGATAGATAAGGGCACCTGGGTGGCTCAGAGGGTCAAGAGTCTGCCTTTGGCTCAGGTCATGATCCTGGGGTCCTGGGATCGAGCCCCAGGTGGGGTTCCCTGCTCAGTGGGGAGTCTGCTTCTCTTTCTTCTTTTGTCCCTCCTCCTGTTTGTGCTCTCTTTTCTCATATAAATGAAAAAAAATTTAAATGATATAGAAAAAGAAGAAGGTAAGTCTTCATATTCAGGAAAATCTCAATGAAGTGATCATGGCAATAAGACATGGAAGCCGCTGTCCACCGAGGACAGGCCCAAGAAGAAACCAGATGGGCCTGGGGCACCTGTCACATGGCTCCCTTTGGGATCATCGAGCTGAGTGCTGTGGCCGGAGGAGACGAGGGAGGGGACGAGGCATCTCACAGGTGTCTAGAGCCTGGAGGGGCCCTGGGACTGCTTTGGTGATGGCGAGGATGCTGATAACCACTGGTGCACAAGCACCGACTGGCATTAGTACCCGCCAAGCTTATGTGTATTCTTAGGTGAAGTAGCCCAGCCACCCATTTGACAGATGAGGAAAACAAAGCTCAGAGAGGCAAAGTTCTTTGCCCAAGTTCCCACAGCAGGGCTAGAATCTGCACCCAGGTCTGGCCGATGCTGGAGACTAAGGTTTTGCCAGCTGCATCTAAGATCCTTTTGGGTTTTCTCTCCAGACTGGGCAGCCTGCCCTGGGGGGGGCACAGAGTAGGGGCACCATAGACAACTTCCTCCTGGCCCAGCAGCTGGAGCCCCCATTTCCCAAGGCCCCCGGGTTTTCACCTCTGAGGCCGTATAGGTGGGGCCTCCACTCCCAGCACATGGGCTGCCCTGGTGCTCAGGGTGGGCAGGCAGGAATGCATGGAGCCCCCTCCCCTTCTGGGCCCTGTGGTTCCCACAAGTGGCATTGGACACCTGCCGAGGATGTTCACTGGCCACCACAGTGTCGGGGGCTTTATCAGCTTCCCATAAGCCCCGGAACCCCCTGGACAGACTAGGAAACAGGCTCAGGGATGGGACCTGGCTTGACCAAGTTCACAGAGAGAGAAAGGGTCAGAGAAGGACGGAACAGAGCCCAGCCTGACTTGGAGCCTGTGCTCTAGGATTGAAAGCTGCCGCCCCCAGCCACCCAGAGGCTGAATGAGAGACAGAGCCTGCAGTTTGCCCTCCGTGGATGGGCTGCTCTCCCAGGTGCAAATTGGCATCGGCGGCCCCCCTGTCAGGCTGGGCCAGAGCTGTGGGATGGGAACCCACCTTGGCTATTGGCTGGAGTTTCCTCCCATGGAACTCAAGGGTGTGGTCTGCATCCCCTCAAAGTGAGCTGCACCTGCAGGGCACTTGGCCTGCTTGGAGCAGCTGCCCTAGAGAGGCTGCTTTGTGCCAGGCCCTCATTTCTGCGTGGTCTGGGTAACTAGATACAGGAGCAAAGGGGCTGGTGGGTGGGAAATGTCCCCTTAGACCCTCTGCCCAATTCACTGCATATCTGATACTTCACCTCCTTGCTGTGTTCACACTTCTGGAATAGACTGGATGGTTCATCCAACCTCTAGACTACAGTGGTTGGGGAGGCAAGGGGTTTGTCATCTGGAGGGTGTGGCTTTGGTTCCTGGGCCGACCAGTAACACCTGTGTGGGGCTGGCCCATCCCTTGACCCCTCTGAGCCTCAGTGAACTCATCTGTAAGTGGGTATGTTAATATTTATCTTATTAAGTCACTAAACATGTTTTTAAATTATGAAATACAGGACATTCGTGGCATAGTAGCTGGAACATGATAAAGCTCAATAAATTCCTATTCAAGAAGGGAGGCATCTCGAATCTTGGTCTTCTTTTTTTTTTTCTTTTTTCTTTTTTTTTTTTAAAGATTTTATTTATCTATTCATGAGAGATGCAGAGAGAGAGAGAGGCAGAGACATAGGCTGAGGGAGAAGCAGGGTCCATGCAGGGAGCCTGATGTGGGACCTGATCCCGGGACCCCAAGATCACGCCTTGGGCCAAAGGCAGGCACTAAACCGCGGAGCCACCCAGGGATCCCCTGAATCTTGGTCTTCATCCTCTGAAGCAGACACTCTTGTGCCCACAGCCACTGGTTGCTAGAATGAGCCAGAAGCCTCATCTTAACAGGCTAGAGCTGCTTCCTATTCTCACTACTGCCCCATCTCTGACTAGCTGCATGACTGTGGCCAAGCCACCTCTCCATGCCTCAGTTTCCTCCTCTGTACAAGGAGAAGAATAACTGCCTCTCCCTCCCAGGGCTGTGTGAGGATTAGGAGCGATAATGTGCTTTATGTAATGCTGGGCACACAGTAAACACCGAACACATTCCCAATACAGCTTTACCACCTCCGACATCACCCAGAGAAGGGACGTGCGGACAGGGTCTAGGGAGCAGGCTCGAGGGTGCCTCCTCACCCCTGTCCTTGGATGTCAGACACCTTAACCCCCAACACAGCTTACTTGAACCACCACTGTGACTGGGGCTGTGACAGCTCCAGGGAAAACTTGAATAATGAGTGTAGGGTTCTGCTCCTGGAAGCCCCTGGCCTGGTGCCTCAGCCACCCTACTCTGTCCCCCCACTCCCAAGCCCATGGCACTGTGCCTGGAAAGGGCACAAGCCTGGATGTCAGGCGAACCCAGTACAAATCCCCAGCTCTGAAGCCTTGGCCAGGCTGCTTTATTTATAGGAACCTCAATTTCCTAATCTGTAAAGTGGGAGTGATAATTGCATCAGTCATGTGGGACTATTTGCAGAAAATATCAAGTAGTGTAAACAATGTAAAAATGAGAACAAGAAGACACTGAGGGTGCCCGAAGCATCTGTCTGATTCCTCCTCCCCAGGTCCCACCCAGAGTGTCCAGCCCCAGACCCTCTGAGACCCGAGCAGGGAGGTACAGGTTATCATTACCTTCCTGTAGGGCCACAGCTCTCAGTGGTCCAGCCTACATCCTCATCAGTGTTTGCTCAGCCTGGGACTTCCGCCCGCCTGTGCCCAATATGGTAGCCACGCTGGGAGGGCCCAGGGGATCAATGTGGGCCCAGCATGGAGGGTGGAAGCTAGGGTTCCCCCCAACACCTTGAGGATCTGGAGGTGCCTGGAAGTGGGCAGGATGGGGCCGGTGTCACCTTGTGAGTGGACCCACCTCGTGAGTGGACCCACCTTGTGGGTCCCATGTGGCATCTGGCACAGGGCAGTATGAAACTGAAAGGTGCTGGTGTCAGAGACTGTGGTAAAACAAACCAAGGACCAGCTCACCTGACCTGCTCCTCCAGCGACTCATCTAGGGAAGCAGTACAAGTGGCCACAAGTGGGCAGAGCCAAAGACTGGACCTCCTACTCCCCCACGCCTGGGCAGCTTGCAGGGTCTCTGATCCAAGCAGAAGGGGCATGGGGGCAGCTCACAACAGCTGTCTGCAAGCAGCCTAGGACCTCAAGCACCCCAGCCTGTAGGGTAGAAGTTGCCCTGCTCTAGGACACTTACCAGGATCCCCACCCCAGGCCCCCCACCAGACTCCTGACGGCTTCAGCCTCTACTACTCCCTCCCTTCCACTCATCTCTGGGACAGCAGTGCACTCTGGTGAGCTGGGCCTCTCCTTGGAGGTTCCCACAGGGCTTCCACATTCTTGAGGCCCCCACTTTGGAGGGGGCCCCTGGCTGCACCTCCCAGGTTCTCTCATTACCAAGCTGGAGGCTCGCCTGTTTCTGGGGCACCTTTCCTGCCTAACCTCATTACGTCATTCCAGTAGGTTTCTGATGGCCCCACTCATCCTGGCCAGGATGGGGTGGAGCAGGCTCCCTCCCGGGGAGCCCGACAGGGTGGGTGGCGGACAGCGGGCACACTCACCCAGGAGCAGATTCATGAGCACCTCCTGGCCAGCCAGCGTGCTGCTCTTCACCAGGCAGAGGATGGTACCCCCGATCCAGGGGATGCCGTGGCCCGTGATGCCAATGAGCTTGACCATGGAGCGGGCGCTGGCCCAGGACGCCGCGCGGCCGGCACACACCCCCAGCCGCTTGGACATGCAGATGTCAATGGCCAGCAGGGAGTTGAAGGCGATGCCCTTGAAGGAGGGGTTCAGCTGCATGCAGTCCTCCTCAGGCAGCTGCTGTGACTGGCGCCGCTCGCGGGCCCCCTCACCAGGGGGCGGGGGCTGTGTTGAGGGGCCCGGGGCCTTCCTGCCGGAGCTGCGGGACTCCGGGGCCCCCTTGGGGGGCTGGTTCAGGGACAGGAACTCTGCCCGGTTGAGGACATTGTTGCGGTCCCGGGCCCGGGAGCGGCTCTGGGAGGCTGGCATGGTGACGCTCACACGGCGAGGGCCGGGGCCAGCCCGGCTGCACGGCCTTGTCCCCGAAGACAGGAGCTGCCCCGAGAGCCGCCACCACTCCCTGCCTCCTTGCCTCCCTGCCTTCCCCGCAGCAGCTGTTAAATATAGAGTAGAGGGTTGCACATGGCTGTTTACCTCTGGCGGCCACCCGGCTCTGAGGGGACGTTAGTGCCCGCTGGGCAGCCAATCGAGCCCACCGATGCAGGCCAGCGCCAATGGAGCCACTAGGGAGGCCGACCCGTCCACAGCTGCGGCCTGGCTGCCTCAGGCCTGGGCTATTTAAATCTTCCAATGGCTCACTCCGGGGGACCAGGGGACTCTGGGAAATGTAGTCCTCCTGCTGCTCTGGCCTCAGCTGGGCCCCAGGCCAGAGGCCCAGATGTGTGCCCCGGACTAACCCCTGCTTTTCCAGGCTCCCTCTGAGCAGTGCAGACCCCCGTGAGCCAGGCCTGCCTGTCCCCCACCCCGGCCTGGGCACTTGGACCTGGTCCCGTGGACGGGACAGCAGAGCCAGGTCAGAGGCCTGTTTGGGCACCAGACTGAGTCAAAGACGTCACTGCCAGCATCATCTTGGGTCTGCTGGGGCCAGGTCCAGCCCCTCCCCTCTGTGACAGCATTTCATTAAGCTGGCAGGCTGAGGTTTTATTTTTATTTTTTAATCAGTCTTGAATTTGGCTTGCATGCATCAGAGTCCAATCAAATGGCAATCTGCAAGATCTGATTTCTGTTAGAGGGAGGGCTAATTGATCGGTTGGTAATGGATCTGCCCCTTGGAGGCTGCCTCCGCTACTCAGAGTTCTGCGAAGGACAGGGACACTCCAGCAGACACTCCGGGAAACCCAATAGTTGTCAAACAGCCAGCACCACGTGAAGGGCCAGGCACGTGCAGAGAATGTCCATCCCTGACCCCGGAAAGCCCAGTTCAGTGGGGATTAAACAAACAACATGTATATGATTACAGGTGTAGAGATGTGGGGTAGGATTACAGAACCACGTCCTGGGTTTGAATGGGGAATCGTGTGGGGCTTCCCCAGGAAGGAAGAACAGGTGGGAGGCCCAGGTAGGGGAGAGCCTACCCCACATGGCGTCTGGGGGGCCTGTGTGGCTGGTGCATAGTGCAAAAGGGCAAGAGAGGCTGAGAGCCCAAAGAGGGCAGACCAAAGGGCCTAATCGAGGATTTGGGGTTTGAGTCAGGCTTCTCTGTCCCCACCTGGGTGCCTGGAGGAAATCCAAGTCTCCATAGCCCTTTTAGGGCTGACTGGGCCTGGACTCAAGGGAAAGCCATTAGTAGAGGGTGACCAGAAGAGTCATGAGTGAATGCCCTGGTCTCACAATTCAGGGGAGCCAAGGACTGTCTGCCCAGCTGGGATTGAGGCAGGAGGCTGTGACTTTCCCTCTAATCGTGAAACCCCGGGCCCACTCCAGACACTGCCCAAGGGCAGTAAGCTTCCTGGGGTGGGGTGAGCCCTCTCTGGTTACAGGGCACCAGTTGTGGGCTCCAGAATCTGACAGATGGGGGGATGATGTTGGCTTTGCCACCAACTGGCTGTGGGATCTTGAACAAGTCACTTGGCCTGTCTGGGCCTTGGTTTTTCCACCTGTAACATGGGAATAATAGTGTCTACCTTTCAAAAGCTATTGTGAGGTCAAGGAGATGATGTTTTTTCAATGCTGAGCAGGGTCCCTGCCACATAGTTAACCTCCAACTCCATGGGTTAAGAACTCATCCTGTTTAACAAAAAAGGCACAGTCCTCTCTCCCCTATGGGTGCCCCCTTCAGAAGGACCCAACACCAAAGTCTGGCCCCTATGCCATACCTGTTGGTGTGAAGCCAGACTCCAGGAGCCCCCAGTCCAGGGTTCCTTCCAGACTTCCTGGCATTCCTCTTCCAGAGTATTCCATTCAGACCACACGGCTACAGAGGATGTCCTAGCCTCTTGGGTAGCAGCGATGGCCTATACTGCCTCATCCTGGCTCCTGGGCAGATGCACGTGGAGATATGTTCAGAATGCATGGATAGTGGCAGTATAAGGAGCTATGTGCTCTAACGTATTCACACCCTATAACCAACCTTCCTGTGAAGATGTGGTACCACTTCTATTTTACAAATGAGGAAGCTGGGGTTCAGAGGTGGAGAAGGCCTCCACCAAGAAGCCTAAAAGAGTGGAGGTTCAACTCCCACAGAGTCCCTGGGGAGGAACACAAGGACTTCCAGACAAAGATCCCTCAGACAGCAAGGACCTGGGTGTGCTCGCTCAGTTCTCCACCAAGGCATTCATCTCATTCCTCCTCGGTGGGGCCGCTGACCTGGGCCAACCCCAGGAGGGGAAGAGGAGCCCATCCCAGATTGGGGCTATTAATACCCAGAGGTCTGTGTCAGCATCTCAGTCTGGTCAGAGCTGCCAGCAGATTCTGAGGGCCACAATGGGCTCTATGCTGAGAAGGCCCATGAAGTCCAATTGTGCTCTACCCTGGGGGTGGTTAGGAGTGGGCTCTGGAGTGAGACAGCCCCAGACCCTGACTCAGCCACCTCCAGCTTAGTGACCACAAGGAAGTCCTGTGAGCCCTCCTGTCCTCTGTTCCCCACTCTGGGGGCTGGTGGAAGGATGGTGTGAGGGGCTCACTCAGCCTGAGAACTGTTTCTCCCTCTGTAAGGTGGGATGACCCTGCTCACATTGCCAGACGGCTCTACCCCTTTATGAGGCCCTACCATAGGCCACACAGTCCCATGTCTCAAGAATTCTCAGAATTCATTCATTCATTGAATCAATGTTTTCATTGATCTCTTCCTGAAGTCTAGTTGCATAGATAGGATATACACCCCTGAAATAACTAGCTAGTTTATAAAAGTTTACTTCCACCAATTCCCTTATTTTTTTCCTTATTGTCAAGATATCACATGCTTACTGCAATAAATTCAATAAGTACAGATGTTATAGGTACAATTCTACTGTCAGGAGACCACCACTGTTAACATGAGGGTGGTCAGGTTATAAAGGAGTTCTCACTTGTCTCACTTCTAATTATTGAAATATTTTACAAAACTAAGTATTGCTTTAATAATCAGAAAAAAACATATTTTAAAGATTTTATTTATTAATGAGAGACACACACAGAGAGAGAGAGAGAGAGAGAGAGAGAGAGAGAGAGAGAGAGAGAGGCAGAGATGCAGTCAGAGGGAGAAGCAGGCTCCTCGCAAGGAGCCCGATGCAGGACTCAATCCTAGGACCTGGGATCATGCCCTGAGCCGAAGGCAGATGCTCAACCTCTGATCCACCCAGGCATCCCAGAAGAATATATATTAAACAAACTGTATCTATCTATATATCATATATGCACAAATATACACTTAAAATATGGTTGTTTTGGGGCACCTGGGTGGCTCAGTTTGTTGGGCATCTGCCTTTGGCTAGGGTCATGATCCTGCAGTCCTGGGATCAAGCCCTGCATGGGGCTCCTTGCTCTGTGGGGAGTCTGCTTCTCTCTCTCCCTCTGCTTGTGTTCTCTCTCTCTCTCTCTCTCAAATAAAATCTTTAATATCTTTAAAAAATCTTTAAAAAATAAAATAAATAAAACTCATTAAAAAATAAAATATGGCTGTATTATATGCCCTTATCCTTTTCACTTAATATAAACCTGGCCATGTTTCCATGACAACTTGCCATTTTTCAATGGCTGCTTGGCATGTTGTCGTGTGCATGGACCATACTTTATGTAAGCAACCCCTTATTATTATACATGTAGATTGTTTCCATTTTATGATGATTCAAAACTATTCTGGCCTGGCCATCCTTATGCACACACCTCTGTACACCAAAGTAGAATATAAACATGTGATTAAAGTGGCAAGTGCCATGTAACAGCATGTGCTCAGATGCATCCCCAAAAATCTGATGGGTCAACCTGGTCACTTACTGCAGTACCCAGACCTGGAAAAGCATGGATTATAGACACTTGCAGCCAACAGGGCAAGTCCACATCTACCCTTTTCCCATGTTAGAGATGACGAAGAGCAGCCTAGGGTGGTGACATGACCTGTGAGGCCACAGAGCTGGTCAAGGCCAGAGATGGGATGTGGGCTGGCTCATCCTTGTAACTCTGAGCCCTCCAGGCTGTCTTTCTGGCCACATGTCCCACAGCTTGGCACTCACTAATTCACTCACCTATTCGTGGAACACTCTTCGAGGACTGCTATGCACCAGGCATCCCTCATGCAAGGACCAGTGGGAAATGCAAAGGTGACTCAGAGGTGGCCCCATGCCTGCAGACCACCTGGCCTCACCGGAGCCATTGCCCTACCTGGACTGTGGTCCACACAACCCAGGACTTCCTGGTCTAGCCCTGTCAGTTGCTGAGAGAGGGGCCTGGAGGAGGGTGAAGCCCCTTGCTAGGGCACAGCTGGTAAGAAGCAGAGCAGGATTCAGACTCGGTCTCAGCCTAAAGCCTTTGGCCCTAACCACTTGGATACACTGCCTTTCTCTCCCTTGAAAGGAGAGGTTTTCTGGCAGCTTTGTGAGACCTAGAGCAGTTTGTATGTAGCAGAGATTTGTTATCTGTTTAGGAGATATTTACTACTATTTACTACTACCACTAAGCGTGTATCATTAACTTCTACTCTGCACCTACTGGGAACTAAATGTGTGTCCCTGAACTGTCACAGCAAGACGGGCTTTTAGTCTTCATCACACAAATGGGAAGATCCAAGCTCAGAGGGGAAGGGGTTCTATATGGGTCATCGAGGGAGCCACAGGGGTCCCCCAGGATTCAAACATCACCCCAGTACCCCTAATCCTCCTCTCTTCTTTTCCTTGTCCCTTTCTAACATCTCATAACACTTATTCTCTGTATTTATGACTTGTGTCCTTCTAGCAGTGTCAGCCCATGGGGCAGGGACTATCGTCTACCTGTTCTCCAATGGGCCCAGGGGACGCAGCCAGTGCCTGGCACATAATAGGTGGTCAATAAATATCAAATAAATGACTGTTTCTAGAGCCTGGGCTCCAATCTACTACAAAGATACAGAAGGCCAAAGGAGGCCGGTTATTTGGGGTGATGACCCGCGAGTGGAAGGGGAAGGGAGTGGCGGGGGTGGGGCGGGCGTCGAGAGGCGTTGAGGGAGACGCACAGCTGGAGGGCAGCGGAGCGGGGGAGGGGCAGCGGCGGCGCCCGCCCGGAGGGGGAGGGAGCCCTGCGCACCGCATTTCTCCCCGCCGCCTCCCCACCCCGGGCGCT